CATTTCCTTTGATCTTAAATTAATTTGCTAATTGATCTAATGACATATGTTGATTAACAAATATATTATAATAAATGTATCAACATGAAATATATTTATGACTTGGTTGAGCCCTCTTCTTCTATCACTTTCATCTTTTTAAGCCCAAATTACTTCTTTTTCTACTGCACTAGCACCAAATCCATTCCGGATTCCTCGTGATTGCTTTTTGACATAGTTTTTAGAGTTCTAAGTAGATTTTCACTTCTCTATCCGACTACTAATGCATTTGATCCAGGTAGATTATGTCTGTATACTCATCCACTGAAACATAACTTGTAAATTTAAAAAAAAATTTGGTCATATTTTGGTAATCGTGAGCCTATCATACAAATAGAATCTAAAATTAAAAAAATTACATCTTGAGATATTTTTTCAAAATCGTCCAATTTTAAACTCATAAGCCTACAACCTTATCATCAAAAATAAAATAAAAACTCTTTATCTAAAAATAGTTCACGTACAATAATAGTATGCAATAACTAGTAGTTAAAAAAGATGGGTAAGTCCCAATAAAAAAAATAAATACTACATAATTTTTTATAAAAAAAATAATAAAAGTACTTTAAAAACATTATGAAAGGATGCTTAGACTATTATCACTTCCGGTACTCCGCCCTTCCGCCCTTCCAAATGTTATTCATAGGGATGGTAAATAATAGGATAAATTACACACAAATTCTTTCAAGTTTGTCATTTAATCAGACAGACCCCCTCTGATAAAAAAAAATTACACGCACCCCTTCAAGTTTATGCGCGAGTATCATTGAAACCCATTGCCGTTTGTATCCGTTAGAGGCATTAAAAAATGCATTGTGTCAACATATTATATATTCATTATCTCGAAACAACCTTTTTCTTTGTTGAGACCCATACTGCCAAATGGAGGATATCAATTTCCTTGAAATGGTGCCACCCCAAATGCGATTTTTGCTGTCTTCTCCTCCACCTTAATATTTGCCCAGAGCCTGCTCGCGCAATAGAAGATGCACTTCGTCTGTTTTCTGCACCAGAGACACTTGAAGGGTACCGAACATCAGCTGTTGATTTGTATCAAGTCAAAGNTTTGTTTTTCAATGCTTTCTAAACCTTGTATGAGTTTGGAAGAATGTTGCTACAGAGTTTCGTGCTCATCCCCCTACAAACTATATTTTTCAGATTGTGATCTAGAGGAAGAGCTCGGGATTGAAGAACCGACATATTGGGAGGCTCCACTAGACGGACTTGTGGATCCTGAGGTGAATGTCTAGAACTATAGTTTATTTTTGGTGCTAGACTTGAAAATTTATTTACGACCATGTATAGTCGAGTATTTTATTTATTTCGCTGCTAAGTTCAAATGTAATTCTTTTAGAATGTAATTGTCATAACTTGGTNTTAGAATGGAATGAAAATCAAGAAGGAAGGATTTGTAGAAAAACAGGCAAAATCTTCTGGAAGGTCACTGAAAAACCTTCCAGAAGGTTAAGATAAAGGCTTATCCAGTAGAATAAACCTTTCGGAAGGTTGTTGGAAATGGTTGTCCAGTAGACAAAATCTTCCGGAAGGTTGATGAAAATGTTTGTCCAGTAAGACAAACCTTCTGGAAGGTTAATGAAAAGGTTTGTCGAATAGACAAACCTTCCGAAAGGTCAATGAACAATCTTCCTGAAGGTCTTCGAAAAATCTAAAAAGTTTAAGTCGCGAATAGCCGGCTTTCCTTTCACTATAAATACTTAAGGACAACCCCTTTGGCCCCATTTCAACACTCAACCCTATGAGACCTTAGAGAGGAGTAAAGGAAGAGAAAAACACAAAATCAAAGGGGATTTCAACTTCAAGAAGATCAAAACCAAGTCTTTTCATGAACATCAAGGTAGGGAGTTTTCTTCCATTCTTGTCCATTGATGTTAGGGCTAATATATATGTACTCTTTGACTCTAAATCTTATATATTTGCTATGAAATCATCTTTTATTGGTCTTCTTGCAAAGATTACATGTTTTGAACAAAGTTAGAGTTGAATACCTATGAAATCTCATTTTCTTGATATAAAACCCTAGTTTTCAAAAGATATGAACTTTCTTCTTGATTCTTCCTTTGTTCTTGACTTTGAAACTTTAGTGCTTGGGGTTAAGTAATGAAATGATGTTATGATGATCTCTTTCTTATTTTCTTAAATTGTTCTCTTGTATTACAAATTATGAAATTGGAAATTTATGTAATTGTTTGTTATTTGAGGAAATTGTTGGAATTGTATCTCTTGTATGGTTGTTGTGATGGATTTGAATTGCATTCGAGCACTGTCGTAGAATGTTAGAGGTTAGTCTATCCCAGTGGGGGTGAGATGGTTTCCTAACACTTGTAGTGGTTTGTTGTTTATGAGAGCAACCACTATTGTTCACGTAAGTTCGGGGCTGAGGGTGGGTATACCTTTCTTGGGAAGGATTTGTCAATGCCGTGGGAGACGGTATATGCCCTTCCTAAAGTGGTTTGTGTGGTTATGGTTGGGTGAACAAGGTAGAGTCGTTGTGTAGATTCATGGGAAACAACCAACATACATGAGAGCATATTTATTGTGTGGAATTGGTTTCCTACAAGAGCTTGTAGAGGTATGAGATTCTACAAGAATTTGTGAGAAATGACTTATGGTTAAAAATGGTTTATTGTTTGGAAATTCTTTTTACTGTTCATTTAAATTATTACTATTATGTAAACTTGAGATCGATTGAAATGTTCTTGTTTTCTTTCAAAAATTAATATATGATATTTGTAAAATGAGACCGGTTTGTTTTTCAATGCTTTCTAAACCTTGTATGAGTTTGGAAGAATGTTGCTACAGAGTTTCGTGCTCATCCCCCTACAAACTATATTTTTCAGATTGTGATCTAGAGGAAGAGCTCGGGATTGAAGAACCGACATATTGGGAGGCTCCACTAGACGGACTTGTGGATCCTGAGGTGAATGTCTAGAACTATAGTTTATTTTTGGTGCTAGACTTGAAAATTTATTTACGACCATGTATAGTCGAGTATTTTATTTATTTCGCTGCTAAGTTCAAATGTAATTCTTTTAGAATGTAATTGTCATAACTTGGTATATTCTTTTGGATATAGCGGTCATGGTTGGCCTATTCTTTGGGATAATATTGTAAATGTTATATTTGATGGATGAAATTTATTTAATGATGAAATTATTTATTGATCTCATAATGTGAATGGTTCTTAATTTGTAATGTCGTCCAGGGTGATCTTTGAGGCATTACACAATCCCATAGAGCAAAGTTGACCTATATATGCCCATGTAAAACTACTTCCTTAAGCAATGTGAAATTGGTGTCAAATCTCACATTGCACAACCTCTATTTTCACCTATTTTCAAGAGAGTCATTTTGAAGCCTATTTTCTCATTTATTTCTTACTCAGTTTGAGCAAGTGAAAATACTACATTATTCTCCTCATTAAGTAGAATACGAACACATGAATGTTTACTCCAAAAACGAACGGATCCCATTTCAATTTAGGGTCAAAGTGGACTAAAAATTCAATTTTTACACTTAAAAAACTGGTTTGATCCAACAAATTGTTGAATGACCATTCTTCAAATTGATTTTGAAGTAATTTGTGCCCTCCATTTTGCTTTTGAGGAATTTGATTATGCTCAAAAGTTTTCTCCTAAACATCCTAGGTTGCAAGGTGATCTTTGTCTTAAATTTTTTATAGCTATAACACACTGCTGTTGTTTGCATATTTCATATGGTAACATTAAAGGAGAAGTATTGATATGTCCATATGAGAACTAAAGTTCAGAAGACAACAGATCACTGAAGCAATATTTTGATAGATTTCTAAGTGATTAAAACATCTTGGATAATATGCAATATTTCATATTCAAAATAGTTAACTTATATTCGTATATACAAGAACTGCCTATACATGTCAATTAACTTAAAAAAATTTAACTTCTAATTTATCCTACATTATAATGTCAACGACTCCCACCTATATTTATGTATCATCCGATTAATCTAATATATCAGTTAATTGAAAAAACTTGACTTTTAATTTTACTCTCAAGCAATATTATAATAACAATCATATCCTCCCATTTCCTTTGATCTTAAATTAATTTGCTAATTGATCTAATGACATATGTTGATTAACAAATATATTATAATAAATGTATCAACATGAAATATATTTATGACTTGGTTGAGCCCTCTTCTTCTATCACTTTCATCTTTTTAAGCCCAAATTACTTCTTTTTCTACTGCACTAGCACCAAATCCATTCCGGATTCCTCGTGATTGCTTTTTGACATAGTTTTTAGAGTTCTAAGTAGATTTTCACTTCTCTATCCGACTACTAATGCATTTGATCCAGGTAGATTATGTCTGTATACTCATCCACTGAAACATAACTTGTAAATTTAAAAAAAAATTTGGTCATATTTTGGTAATCGTGAGCCTATCATACAAATAGAATCTAAAATTAAAAAAATTACATCTTGAGATATTTTTTCAAAATCGTCCAATTTTAAACTCATAAGCCTACAACCTTATCATCAAAAATAAAATAAAAACTCTTTATCTAAAAATAGTTCACGTACAATAATAGTATGCAATAACTAGTAGTTAAAAAAGATGGGTAAGTCCCAATAAAAAAAATAAATACTACATAATTTTTTATAAAAAAAATAATAAAAGTACTTTAAAAACATTATGAAAGGATGCTTAGACTATTATCACTTCCGGTACTCCGCCCTTCCGCCCTTCCAAATGTTATTCATAGGGATGGTAAATAATAGGATAAATTACACACAAATTCTTTCAAGTTTGTCATTTAATCAGACAGACCCCCTCTGATAAAAAAAAATTACACACGCACCCCTTCAAGTTTATGCGCGAGTATCATTGAAACCCATTGCCGTTTGTATCCGTTAGAGGCATTAAAAAATGCATTGTGTCAACATATTATATATTCATTATCTCGAAACAACCTTTTTCTTTGTTGAGACCCATACTGCCAAATGGAGGATATCAATTTCCTTGAAATGGTGCCACCCCAAATGCGATTTTTGCTGTCTTCTCCTCCACCTTAATATTTGCCCAGAGCCTGCTCGCGCAATAGAAGATGCACTTCGTCTGTTTTCTGCACCAGAGACACTTGAAGGGTACCGAACATCAGCTGTTGATTTGTATCAAGTCAAAGATTTGCTGAAACTAAATTAATAGTTTCTTAGTTCTACTTGTCCCCTTTTTTTTTTTTAAGAAAAAAGAGAATTTTATTGAATAAATCTCCAAAAATTACAAGAATAAAAAAACAGCAACTGTTTCAACAAAAAACAGTAACTGTTTCAACAAAAAACAGAAAACTGCTACAGTATAAAACAGAATTCTGTGTAACAGAAAAGAAGACAGCATGTTAACCTTGGAAATGATTCTTGAGCTCACCCACCAAGAAGAGTACTGCACTTGATATAGGGCAGCCTCACTTGCAGGCAACCAAACAAGAATATTTAAACATACTTCTACCAATTCAAATTCCCAAATGAAGTCATAAAGCGTTGTTCCAAACTGTGCATTACTTGAAGGCACCCGCTCCCCTTCGGGGGATCTAAAATTGCGTGAACCAGGCCCAGCTAAGGGATTCTCAAATGACTCGTACCTTTGCATGACAGGTGATGTATATGGCGGAGGTTCTTCTCTAACCATAAAATGCTTAAAACCCAAGATATTATACTCATACCATAAAAATAAATAATTAATAAAAAGGGTATAAATTCTTTTCTGTGTTACACAGAATTCTGTTACCAAGTATCAGACAAAACAGCTAAAAAACCTCCTGTACAACTGCTGCATTTCCTGATCCTCACAGTTCAACTCCTAACTCTGTGTTCAAAGCTCACCAATTTCCTCATCCTTGCAGTACACAGTCCAATTTGAAAACCCTTGCAGAAGCATTCTGCCAGATAATGGCAAAATCCCACTGACTGAAAAATCAGTGTATCTCCCACAGTAAACTGTAAAATGAGGCCAGATAAACAGCTATCACATTGGCGTCCTTGTACACATGCTTTAACTGATACTGCAATTCTCCAAGCATCACCCAGATCTGAACACAGAAAAACGAAGCCACAAGAAAAACACACAAAAAATCAGGAAATAACATCACATAAACACAGAAAAACAAAAAAACCATAGCAAAATTTGGACCACATAAACACAGAAAAATTAATAAACTAGGAAAACACAGAAAAACATGATCATTCAGCTTACTGAAACCCCAACCTATTGTACGCACCTTCACCACGATTTAGGCTTGACTCTCTTTTGTTCACAGTGATGAACTCATGATCTTCGGATGAGGATGAAAATCTAATGTGTGAGACAGAGAGAGAAGAGCGGAATATTAAGGATTATCCCGCCTTTTGTTCTCTGATGCGGAGGGACTCTCTTGCCTGCCTGTGGTGTGGAGCAATAAGGGTCTTTTAGTAAAGGCCGCAGTTCAATAAAATATCTTAGGCTTTTTTGTCATTTGCCACTTTCCATTTGCTCCGTTAGCAGAACGCCAATGACATGGGGTCTATGTGTAATTTCGTATACTTGAGGGGGTCTATTAATTAAATAACAAACTTTAGGGAACCCGAATATAATTTATCCTAAATAATAAGACCATCTTCGATCTTACTTTTTTTATACCATTTTTTAAAAATGGTAAAAAAATTATTAAAAATTTTTCCTAATATTAAACTCATTCTCGCATCAAACGGAAAAAAATTCTTTTTTAAATTCAAATGACTTTTCTTTAAACTTAAATTTGTAATTGTGAGATTATATTCTTCTTTAAAATTTTAATGATCATATGTTCTTTTAAATTTGGTTTTTTCTCATTAAATTTTCTATGCCTTTAAAAAATAATGAGTTCATTGGAGAGATTTATATCAAATTAAACTTTTTATCTTTTTATTATTTAAATTTAAATAAGAATTTAAATCACTTGAGATACTCTAACATTATTTAACATTATTTTTCATTGTTAGACGTTTTATATAATTTAGTGACAAATCTCTGTAATTTAAGGCTCACCAAAATCTTTTAAGGCACACCAAAATCTTTTTACCTCGGAGAAAGTTCTTTTTTATTTTTTTTTTAAGGCACACCAAAATCTTCCTCTGTCGCCAATATAACGATTTGCTTACAGCATTTCACACTCTTCTCCTCGCATTAGAACAATAAGAAGGATCTGAGCATAGGGTTTGGCTCAAATTCTTCAATTGACACTCTCTTGTTTACATTTCTAGGGTTTCTAATTGTGTCATATCTTTCCCATTTGCAAAATGGCCGGAAAAACTGTGATTTCAGACGACGAAGGTGAACCCGCAGTCTCTAACTCTCTCTTTTTTTGAAAGCGTTTCTATTTTTCTAAGATTATCTCAGTGTCGGTGTATTTCCTCGATCGTTTAACAGATGAGGTTGAAATTGAAGACGAAGATAGAGAAGAGCATGCCGATGGAGAACCTGTCGATGTTGAAGACCGTGGCGACGATGAAGAAGATGAAGACGACGGTACCACCCAGCTTCAGTTTTTGTTTATTTATTAATGTTTTTTTTTGGTGTTCTATTTTCTGGGTTTGTTTCAAATTGAGTTTTTGGTCAGGTAAATTTGCATTTTTTTTTGCTAAACATATATTGGAGCCCTAATATATTACGCATTGCACTTCCAGTTTGTTGAATTGTGCTTGTGGNAAGTTCAGAAGACAACAGATCACTGAAGCAATATTTTGATAGATTTCTAAGTGATTAAAACATCTTGGATAATATGCAATATTTCATATTCAAAATAGTTAACTTATATTCGTATATACAAGAACTGCCTATACATGTCAATTAACTTAAAAAAATTTAACTTCTAATTTATCCTACATTATAATGTCAACGACTCCCACCTATATTTATGTATCATCCGATTAATCTAATATATCAGTTAATTGAAAAAACTTGACTTTTAATTTTACTCTCAAGCAATATTATAATAACAATCATATCCTCCCATTTCCTTTGATCTTAAATTAATTTGCTAATTGATCTAATGACATATGTTGATTAACAAATATATTATAATAAATGTATCAACATGAAATATATTTATGACTTGGTTGAGCCCTCTTCTTCTATCACTTTCATCTTTTTAAGCCCAAATTACTTCTTTTTCTACTGCACTAGCACCAAATCCATTCCGGATTCCTCGTGATTGCTTTTTGACATAGTTTTTAGAGTTCTAAGTAGATTTTCACTTCTCTATCCGACTACTAATGCATTTGATCCAGGTAGATTATGTCTGTATACTCATCCACTGAAACATAACTTGTAAATTTAAAAAAAAATTTGGTCATATTTTGGTAATTGTGAGCCTATCATACAAATAGAATCTAAAATTAAAAAAATTACATCTTGAGATATTTTTTCAAAATCGTCCAATTTTAAACTCATAAGCCTACAACCTTATCATCAAAAATAAAATAAAAACTCTTTATCTAAAAATAGTTCACGTACAATAATAGTATGCAATAACTAGTAGTTAAAAAAGATGGGTAAGTCCCAATAAAAAAAATAAATACTACATAATTTTTTATAAAAAAAATAATAAAAGTACTTTAAAAACATTATGAAAGGATGCTTAGACTATTATCACTTCCGGTACTCCGCCCTTCCGCCCTTCCAAATGTTATTCATAGGGATGGTAAATAATAGGATAAATTACACACAAATTCTTTCAAGTTTGTCATTTAATCAGACAGACCCCCTCTGATAAAAAAAAATTACACACGCACCCCTTCAAGTTTATGCGCGAGTATCATTGAAACCCATTGCCCTTTGTATCCGTTAGAGGCATTAAAAAATGCATTGTGTCAACATATTATATATTCATTATCTCGAAACAACCTTTTTCTTTGTTGAGACCCATACTGCCAAATGGAGGATATCAATTTCCTTGAAATGGTGCCACCCCAAATGCGATTTTTGCTGTCTTCTCCTCCACCTTAATATTTGCCCAGAGCCTGCTCGCGCAATAGAAGATGCACTTCGTCTGTTTTCTGCACCAGAGACACTTGAAGGGTACCGAACATCAGCTGTTGATTTGTATCAAGTCAAAGATTTGCTGAAACTAAATTAATAGTTTCTTAGTTCTACTTGTCCTTTTTTTTTTTTAAGAAAAAAGAGAATTTTATTGAATAAATCTCCAAAAATTACAAGAATAAAAAAACAGCAACTGTTTCAACAAAAAACAGTAACTGTTTCAACAAAAAACAGAAAACTGCTACAGTATAAAACAGAATTCTGTGTAACAGAAAAGAAGACAGCATGTTAACCTTGGAAATGATTCTTGAGCTCACCCACCAAGAAGAGCACTGCACTTGATATAGGGCAGCCTCACTTGCAGGCAACCAAACAAGAATATCCNTGAGATTATATTCTTCTTTAAAATTTTAATGATCATATGTTCTTTTAAATTTGGTTTTTTCTCATTAAATTTTCTATGCCTTTAAAAAATAATGAGTTCATTGGAGAGATTTATATCAAATTAAACTTTTTATCTTTTTATTATTTAAATTTAAATAAGAATTTAAATCACTCNCCAAACATACTTCTACCAATTCAAATTCCCAAATGAAGTCATAAAGCGTTGTTCCAAACTGTGCATTACTTGAAGGCACCCGCTCCCCTTCGGGGGATCTAAAATTGCGTGAACCAGGCCCAGCTAAGGGATTCTCAAATGACTCGTACCTTTGCATGACAGGTGATGTATATGGCGGAGGTTCTTCTCTAACCATAAAATGCTTAAAACCCAAGATATTATACTCATACCATAAAAATAAATAATTAATAAAAAGGGTATAAATTCTTTTCTGTGTTACACAGAATTCTGTTACCAAGTATCAGACAAAACAGCTAAAAAACCTCCTGTACAACTGCTGCATTTCCTGATCCTCACAGTTCAACTCCTAACTCTGTGTTCAAAGCTCACCAATTTCCTCATCCTTGCAGTACACAGTCCAATTTGAAAACCCTTGCAGAAGCATTCTGCCAGATAATGGCAAAATCCCACTGACTGAAAAATCAGTGTATCTCCCACAGTAAACTGTAAAATGAGGCCAGATAAACAGCTATCACATTGGCGTCCTTGTACACATGCTTTAACTGATACTGCAATTCTCCAAGCATCACCCAGATCTGAACACAGAAAAACGAAGCCACAAGAAAAACACACAAAAAATCAGGAAATAACATCACATAAACACAGAAAAACAAAAAAACCATAGCAAAATTTGGACCACATAAACACAGAAAAATTAATAAACTAGGAAAACACAGAAAAACATGATCATTCAGCTTACTGAAACCCCAACCTATTGTACGCACCTTCACCACGATTTAGGCTTGACTCTCTTTTGTTCACAGTGATGAACTCATGATCTTCGGATGAGGATGAAAATCTAATGTGTGAGACAGAGAGAGAAGAGCGGAATATTAAGGATTATCCCGCCTTTTGTTCTCTGATGCGGAGGGACTCTCTTGCCTGCCTGTGGTGTGGAGCAATAAGGGTCTTTTAGTAAAGGCAGCAGTTCAATAAAATATCTTAGGCTTTTTTGTCATTTGCCACTTTCCATTTGCTCCGTTAGCAGAACGCCAATGACATGGGGTCTATGTGTAATTTCGTATACTTGAGGGGGTCTATTAATTAAATAACAAACTTTAGGGAACCCGAATATAATTTATCCTAAATAATAAGACCATCTTCGATCTTACTTTTTTTATACCATTTTTTAAAAATGGTAAAAAAATTATTAAAATTTTTTCCTAATATTAAACTCATTCTCGCATCAAACGGAAAAAAATTCTTTTTTAAATTCAAATGACTTTTCTTTAAACTTAAATTTGTAATTGTGAGATTATATTCTTCTTTAAAATTTTAATGATCATATGTTCTTTTAAATTTGGTTTCTTCACATTAAATTTTCTATGCCTTTAAAAAATAATGAGTTCGTTGGAGAGATTTATATCAAATTAAACTTTTTATCTTTTTATTATTTAAATTTAAATAAGAATTTAAATCACTTGAGATACTCTAACATTATTTAACATTATTTTTCATTGTTAGACGTTTTATATAATTTAGTGACAAATCTCTGTAATTTAAGGCTCACCAAAATCTTTTAAGGCACACCAAAATCTTTTTACCTCGGAGAAAGTTCTTTTTTATTTTTTTTTTAAGGCACACCAAAATCTTCCTCTGTCGCCAATATAACGATTTGCTTACAGCATTTCACACTCTTCTCCTCGCATTAGAACAATAAGAAGGATCTGAGCATAGGGTTTGGCTCAAATTCTTCAATTGACACTCTCTTGTTTACATTTCTAGGGTTTCTAATTGTGTCATATCTTTCCCATTTGCAAAATGGCCGGAAAAACTGTGATTTCAGACGACGAAGGTGAACCCGCAGTCTCTAACTCTCTCTTTTTTTGAAAGCGTTTCTATTTTTCTAAGATTATCTCAGTGTCGGTGTATTTCCTCGATCGTTTAACAGATGAGGTTGAAATTGAAGACGAAGATAGAGAAGAGCATGCCGATGGAGAACCTGTCGATGTTGAAGACCGTGGCGACGATGAAGAAGATGAAGACGACGGTACCACCCAGCTTCAGTTTTTGTTTATTTATTAATGTTTTTTTTTGGTGTTCTATTTTCTGGGTTTGTTTCAAATTGAGTTTTTGGTCAGGTAAATTTGCATTTTTTTTTTGCTAAACATATATTGGAGCCCTAATATATTACGCACTGCACTTGCAGTTTGTTGAATTGTGTTTGTACNATCCTTGCAGTACACAGTCCAATTTGAAAACCCTTGCAGAAGCATTCTGCCAGATAATGGCAAAATCCCACTGACTGAAAAATCAGTGTATCTCCCAGAGTAAACTGTAAAATGAGGCCAGATAAACAGCTATCACATTGGCGNAATTTCCTCATCCTTGCAGTACACAGTCCAATTTGAAAACCCTTGCAGAAGCATTCTGCCAGATAATGGCAAAATCCCACTGACTGAAAAATCAGTGTATCTCCCACAGTAAACTGTAAAATGAGGCCAGATAAACAGCTATCACATTGGCCNATATTTATGACTTGGTTGAGCCCTCTTCTTCTATCACTTTCATCTTTTTAAGCCCAATTTACTTCTTTTTCTACTGCACTAGCACCAAATCCATTCCGGATTCCTCGTGATTGCTTTTTGACATAGTTTTTAGCGTTCTAAGTAGATTTTCACTTCTCTATCCGACTACTAATGCATTTGATCCAGGTAGATTATGTCTGTATACACATCCACTGAAACATAACTTGTAAATTTTAAAAAAAATTTGGTCATATTTTGGTAATTNCGTCCTTGTACACATGCTTTAACTGATACTGCAATTCTCCAAGCATCACCCAGATCTGAACACAGAAAAACGAAGCCACAAGAAAAACACACAAAAAATCAGGAAATAACATCACATAAACACAGAAAAACAAAAAAACCATAGCAAAATTTGGACCACATAAACACAGAAAAATTAATAAACTAGGAAAACACAGAAAAACATGATCATTCAGCTTACTGAAACCCCAACCTATTGTACGCACCTTCACCACGATTTAGACTTGACTCNAAGGGTCTTTTAGTAAAGGCAGCAGTTCAATAAAATATCTTAGGCTTTTTTGTCATTTGCCACTTTCCATTTGCTCCGTTAGCAGAACGCCAATGACATGGGGTCTATGTGTAATTTCGTATACTTGAGGGGGTCTATTAATTAAATAACAAACTTTAGGGAATCTGAATATAATTTATCCTAAATAATAAGACCATCTTCGATCTTACTTTTTTTATACCATTTTTTAAAAATGGTAAAAAAATTATTAAAATTTTTTCCTAATATTAAACTCATTCTCGCATCAAACGGAAAAAAATTCTTTTTTAAATTCAAATGACTTTTCTTTAAACTTAAATTTGTAATTGTGAGATTATATTCTTCTTTAAAATTTTAATGATCATATGTTCTTTTAAATTTGGTTTCTTCACATTAAATTTTCTATGCCTTTAAAAAATAATGAGTTCGTTGGAGAGATTTATATCAAATTAAACTTTTTATCTTTTTATTATTTAAATTTAAATAAGAATTTAAATCACTTNATTCTGTGTAACAGAAAAGAAGACAGCATGTTAACCTTGGAAATGATTCTTGAGCTCACCCACCAAGAAGAGCACTGCACTTGATATAGGGCAGCCTCACTTGCAGGCAACCAAACAAGAATATCCAAACATACTTCTACCAATTCAAATTCCCAAATGAAGTCATAAAGCGTTGTTCCAAACTGTGCATTACTTGAAGGCACCCGCTCCCCTTCGGGGGATCTAAAATTGCGTGAACCAGGCCCAGCTAAGGGATTCTCAAATGACTCGTACCTTTGCATGACAGGTGATGTATATGGCGGAGGTTCTTCTCTAACCATAAAATGCTTAAAACCCAAGATATTATACTCATACCATAAAAATAAATAATTAATAAAAAGGGTATAAATTCTTTTCTGTGTTACACAGAATTCTGTTACCAAGTATCAGACAAAACAGCTAAAAAACCTCCTGTACAACTGCTGCATTTCCTGATCCTCACAGTTCAACTCCTAACTCTGTGTTCAAAGCTCACCAATTTCCTCATCCTTGCAGTACACAGTCCAATTTGAAAACCCTTGCAGAAGCATTCTGCCAGATAATGGCAAAATCCCACTGACTGAAAAATCAGTGTATCTCCCACAGTAAACTGTAAAATGAGGCCAGATAAACAGCTATCACATTGGCGTCCTTGTACACATGCTTTAACTGATACTGCAATTCTCCAAGCATCACCCAGATCTGAACACAGAAAAACGAAGCCACAAGAAAAACACACAAAAAATCAGGAAATAACATCACATAAACACAGAAAAACAAAAAAACCATAGCAAAATTTGGACCACATAAACACAGAAAAATTAATAAACTAGGAAAACACAGAAAAACATGATCATTCAGCTTACTGAAACCCCAACCTATTGTACGCACCTTCACCACGATTTAGGCTTGACTCTCNATATTTATGACTTGGTTGAGCCCTCTTCTTCTATCACTTTCATCTTTTTAAGCCCAAATTACTTCTTTTTCTACTGCACTAGCACCAAATCCATTCCGGATTCCTCGTGATTGCTTTTTGACATAGTTTTTAGAGTTCTAAGTAGATTTTCACTTCTCTATCCGACTACTAATGCATTTGATCCAGGTAGATTATGTCTGTATACTCATCCACTGAAACATAACTTGTAAATTTAAAAAAAAATTTGGTCATATTTTGGTAATCGTGAGCCTATCATACAAATAGAATCTAAAATTAAAAAAATTACATCTTGAGATATTTTTTCAAAATCGTCCAATTTTAAACTCATAAGCCTACAACCTTATCATCAAAAATAAAATAAAAACTCTTTATCTAAAAATAGTTCACGTACAATAATAGTATGCAATAACTAGTAGTTAAAAAAGATGGGTAAGTCCCAATAAAAAAAATAAATACTACATAATTTTTTATAAAAAAAATAATAAAAGTACTTTAAAAACATTATGAAAGGATGCTTAGACTATTATCACTTCCGATACTCCCCCCTTCCAAATGTTATTCATAGGGATGGTAAATAATAAGATAAATTACACACAGATCCTTTCAAGTTTGTCACTTAATCAGACAGACCCCCTCTGATAAAAAAAAATTACACACACCCCTCCAAGTTTATGCGCGAGTATCATTGAAACCCATTGCCGTTTGTATCCGTTAGAGGCATTAAAAAATGCATTGTGTCAACATATTATATATTCATTATCTCGAAACAACCTTTTTCTTTGTTGAGACCCATACTGCCAAATGGAGGATATCAATTTCCTTGAAATGGTGCCACCCCAAATGCGATTTTTGCTGTCTTCTCCTCCACCTTAATATTTGCCCAGAGCCTGCTCGCGCAATAGAAGATGCACTTCGTCTGTTTTCTGCACCAGAGACACTTGAAGGGTACCGAACATCAGCTGTTGATTTGTATCAAGTCAAAGATTTGCTGAAACTAAATTAATAGTTTCTTAGTTCTACTTGTCCCCTTTTTTTTTTTTAAGAAAAAAGAGAATTTTATTGAATAAATCTCCAAAAATTACAAGAATAAAAAAACAGCAACTGTTTCAACAAAAAACAGTAACTGTTTCAACAAAAAACAGAAAACTGCTACAGTATAAAACAGAATTCTGTGTAACAGAAAAGAAGACAGCATGTTAACCTTGGAAATGATTCTTGAGCTCACCCACCAAGAAGAGTACTGCACTTGATATAGGGCAGCCTCACTTGCAGGCAACCAAACAAGAATATTTAAACATACTTCTACCAATTCAAATTCCCAAATGAAGTCATAAAGCGTTGTTCCAAACTGTGCATTACTTGAAGGCACCCGCTCCCCTTCGGGGGATCTAAAATTGCGTGAACCAGGCCCAGCTAAGGGATTCTCAAATGACTCGTACCTTTGCATGACAGGTGATGTATATGGCGGAGGTTCTTCTCTAACCATAAAATGCTTAAAACCCAAGATATTATACTCATACCATAAAAATAAATAATTAATAAAAAGGGTATAAATTCTTTTCTGTGTTACACAGAATTCTGTTACCAAGTATCAGACAAAACAGCTAAAAAACCTCCTGTACAACTGCTGCATTTCCTGATCCTCACAGTTCAACTCCTAACTCTGTGTTCAAAGCTCACCAATTTCCTCATCCTTGCAGTACACAGTCCAATTTGAAAACCCTTGCAGAAGCATTCTGCCAGATAATGGCAAAATCCCACTGACTGAAAAATCAGTGTATCTCCCACAGTAAACTGTAAAATGAGGCCAGATAAACAGCTATCACATTGGCGTCCTTGTACACATGCTTTAACTGATACTGCAATTCTCCAAGCATCACCCAGATCTGAACACAGAAAAACGAAGCCACAAGAAAAACACACAAAAAATCAGGAAATAACATCACATAAACACAGAAAAACAAAAAAACCATAGCAAAATTTGGACCACATAAACACAGAAAAATTAATAAACTAGGAAAACACAGAAAAACATGATCATTCAGCTTACTGAAACCCCAACCTATTGTACGCACCTTCACCACGATTTAGGCTTGACTCTCTTTTGTTCACAGTGATGAACTCATGATCTTCGGATGAGGATGAAAATCTAATGTGTGAGACAGAGAGAGAAGAGCGGAATATTAAGGATTATCCCGCCTTTTGTTCTCTGATGCGGAGGGACTCTCTTGCCTGCCTGTGGTGTGGAGCAATAAGGGTCTTTTAGTAAAGGCCGCAGTTCAATAAAATATCTTAGGCTTTTTTGTCATTTGCCACTTTCCATTTGCTCCGTTAGCAGAACGCCAATGACATGGGGTCTATGTGTAATTTCGTATACTTGAGGGGGTCTATTAATTAAATAACAAACTTTAGGGAACCCGAATATAATTTATCCTAAATAATAAGACCATCTTCGATCTTACTTTTTTTATACCATTTTTTAAAAATGGTAAAAAAATTATTAAAAATTTTTCCTAATATTAAACTCATTCTCGCATCAAACGGAAAAAAATTCTTTTTTAAATTCAAATGACTTTTCTTTAAACTTAAATTTGTAATTGTGAGATTATATTCTTCTTTAAAATTTTAATGATCATATGTTCTTTTAAATTTGGTTTCTTCACATTAAATTTTCTATGCCTTTAAAAAATAATGAGTTCGTTGGAGAGATTTATATCAAATTAAACTTTTTATCTTTTTATTATTTAAATTTAAATAAGAATTTAAATCACTTGAGATACTCTAACATTATTTAACATTATTTTTCATTGTTAGACGTTTTATATAATTTAGTGACAAATCTCTGTAATTTAAGGCTCACCAAAATCTTTTAAGGCACACCAAAATCTTTTTACCTCGGAGAAAGTTCTTTTTTATTTTTTTTTTAAGGCACACCAAAATCTTCCTCTGTCGCCAATATAACGATTTGCTTACAGCATTTCACACTCTTCTCCTCGCATTAGAACAATAAGAAGGATCTGAGCATAGGGTTTGGCTCAAATTCTTCAATTGACACTCTCTTGTTTACATTTCTAGGGTTTCTAATTGTGTCATATCTTTCCCATTTGCAAAATGGCCGGAAAAACTGTGATTTCAGACGACGAAGGTGAACCCGCAGTCTCTAACTCTCTCTTTTTTTGAAAGCGTTTCTATTTTTCTAAGATTATCTCAGTGTCGATGTATTTCCTCGATCGTTTAACAGATGAGGTTGAAATTGAAGACGAAGATAGAGAAGAGCATGCCGATGGAGAACCTGTCGATGTTGAAGACCGTGGCGACGATGAAGAAGATGAAGACGACGGTACCACCCAGCTTCAGTTTTTGTTTATTTATTAATGTTTTTTTTTGGTGTTCTATTTTCTGGGTTTGTTTCAAATTGAGTTTTTGGTCAGGTAAATTTGCATTTTTTTTTGCTAAACATATATTGGAGCCCTAATATATTACGCATTGCACTTCCAGTTTGTTGAATTGTGCTTGTGGGTAGGTTTTTTTTATTGTTGGTGTTGCTTGATTTAGGGTTTAATTGCTTGAACCCCTTTTTTGAGGAATTTTTTCCTGAAAATTGATTGGGAATTTAGTAGATATTTTTCATGTGAATGTTATTGGGAGACAAATGCTATTTCTGGTGAAAAAACTGGAGACCTTTCTTATTTCACTTGTGCGCAATATATGCAGTGCTTATTCTCCATCAGAATTAGAAAAACCTCAGTTTTTTACCCCTCAAGATATGTGAGCTTGGGTAGATTTGTTTCTGGATGGCTGAACAGAGGGATTGATAGTTTGGACTCGTGTAATTGTGTTATTTAATATGCTTTTAAGATTTTGAATTTCGGGTAGTAATATGTTTTGCCGTTCGGGCAATGGGCGTTCTGCTTTTGACAGGTTAATATAGATTTGGCAGCATTTCATGTGTGAGGCTTTTTTCTTAATTGTGGTATTTTATTTTTGTCTTTCTGGTAAATATTTTTGGTTAATTGGGATATTTTTAGTGTCTAGTCTGTAATATGGTTTTCTTTTTGAATAGAAGAAGGACAGGATGAATATGAGAAAGATGGATTTATAGTGGATGATGGTGATGAAGAAGAACAGGAAGAGGAAGAAGAGGATAGGGCAGACAGTGATGATGAGAGGCAGAAGAAGAAGAAAAGGAAGAAAAGGTGAATCCTCTCTTGTGTGACGCACCTATTTAATCTCCAAAGTTGTTGCGTTATTTACTGTTGTTCCCACTAATCTTAGAGAATCGGAGAGGAATTATGTTCTTGATGAAGATGACTATGAGCTCCTTCAGGATAACAACATCACTGTTCATCGTCCGAAACTTGTGAGCTTCTTGCTCTGAATTTTTTTTTTTTTTTTTTTTTTTTTGTTCATGAACTTCATGCGGCACTGCTTAGTTTAGTCTCTCTTCCTAGTATAATCGTTGCGCACAGATGATTGATTGACATTTTGGGGTGTGTGCTTGTAAATGTATTAGGAGAGCAAAAAGTTTAAGCGGCTGAAAAAAGCTCAGAGGGACACAGAGGAAGGACGCTCTGGTTTTTCTGATGAGGAGGAGTTTGATGGAAGTGGGAAGGGTGGGCGAACAGCCGAGGAGAAGCTCAAGCGCAGCTTATTTGGTGATGATGAGGGTAAATTTCATTAGCTTATCTTCTACTCTATGCTAGTGTAGTTCATCATTCATTTTGAGAAACTCTAAAATATTTCAGGACCACCCTTTGAGGATATTGCTGAAGAGGAGCAACCAGAAGATGAAGAGGATGCTGAGATTGGTGAAGAGGATGAAATGGCTGACTTTATTGTTGATGAAGAAGAAGTTGATGAACATGGAGCTCCCGTGCGGTATGTGTTGTATCTCGGATGTGTGTATTATATGGATTTTATTTTTGATTCAATGTGTATCTAATTATACATATGAATTCCTTACTCAGGAGGAGGAAGTTGAACAAAAAGAAGCCCAGACAGGCACCAGGAGTTTCATCATCTGCATTACAGGAAGCTCATGAAATATTTGGTGATGTTGATGAACTTCTGAGGCTTCGCAAGCAAGGCTTAGCAAAGATGGGCAGGCATGAGGAATCCGGTGAATGGAGGGAAAGGAGGCTAGAAGATGAATTTGAACCAATTATCCTTTCTGAGAAGTATATGACAGAGAAGGATGATCAAATGCGGGAGATAGATATTCCAGAAAGAATGCAGGTAGGATTAGAAGCTTAAAAGGTGTGCTTTTCTTCTGGCATTTCACTCAGGTCCCTGATTGTATTATCTGTTGTCTTCTTTGGTAGATAGCTGAGGAAAGCACTGGCTCTCCGCCTNGGATTAGAAGCTTAAAAGGTGTGCTTTTCTTCTGGCATTTCACTCAGGTCCCTGATTATATTATCTGTTGTCTTCTTTGGTAGATAGCTGAGGAAAGCACTGGCTCTCCGCCTACAGATGAGATGAGCATAGAAGAAGAGAGTAACTGGATACATAATCAACTTGCAGTCGGCATGGTACCTTTGTTTGGAAAGCGAGGTATAGGAACAACTGAAGAAGGCAACGAGCTGTCCATCAACAAGGATGACATTATGAGATTTTTGGACATGATGCACGTGCAGAAGTTTGACGTAAGAAACTTTCTATTTACCGGTGGTAAGACTCTCTCTTTATAGATGGATCTCATATTGCCTTTTACTACACTTTTTTAGGTTCCATTTATTGCTATGTATCGTAAGGAGGAGTGCTTAAGCCTATTTAAGGATCCAGAGCAGCATGATGCTGATGATGAGAATCCAAATAAGTCTGACCAAAAACGTACATTAAGGTGGCATAAGGTAAATGAATTGTCCTTGAACTGTTGTCCTGCACCTCTGTATATTGAAACACTTATGTCCTAAGGAAAGAGAGGACACAGACTTGAGGGGAGTGTGCTTTGTTGCAGGTACTTTGGGCCATCCAGGACTTGGACAGAAAGTGGCTGCTTCTTCAGAAGCGAAAGAGTGCTCTCCAGTCATACTACAACAAGCGCTTTGAAGAAGAACTACGGAGAGTATATGATGAAACACGACTTAATTTGAATCAGCAGCTTTTTGAATCAATTACAAAGTCTCTCAAGGCAGCTGAATCGGATAGAGAGGTTGATGATGTTGACTCAAAGTTTAATCTCCACTTCCCCCCAGGTGAGGTTGGCGTGGATGAAGGACAATACAAGCGGCCAAAGAGGAAGTCACAATATAGTATTTGCAGTAAGGCTGGGCTTTGGGAGGTTGCGAGCAAGTTTGGGTACAGCTCTGAGCAATTTGGATTGCAGATATCTCTAGAAAAGATGGTAAGTCAGTTTTGAGTTGTGATTATAATTATTTGAATGAGGACATGAAGTTGATGCTGTAACGTCTTTTGCAGAGAATGGATGAATTAGAGGATGCCAAAGAAACGCCCGAGGAAATGGCTTCCAATTTTACATGTGCGATGTTTGAAAACCCTCAAGCTGTGCTCAAAGGTGCTCGGCACATGGTATGCAATTCTTTGGTGTTCATAGATAAGTTGACATGAGTGTGTACTATTGCAAGTGATTTGAACAGTGAATGTTTGTGAGTTGCTGCAGGCAGCAGTTGAGATTAGCTGTGAACCTTGTGTTCGGAAACATGTTCGTAGTATTTTTATGGATAATGCTGTAGTATCAACGAGTCCTACACATGATGGCAATGTAGCCATTGATTCTTTTCATCAGTATGCGGGGGTGAAGTGGTTACGGGACAAGCCACTTACCAGATTTGAGGATGCACAGTGGCTTCTTATTCAAAAGGCTGAAGAAGAGAAGCTCCTTCAAGTTTCTATTAAGCTGCCAGAATCTGTCCTTGACAAATTAATAAGTGACTCGGATGATTATTATCTCAGCGACGGTGTGAGTAAATCTGCTCAGTTGTGGAATGAGCAGAGGAAGCTAATACTGCAGGATGCCTTTTTCGGTTTTCTGCTACCTTCAATGGAGAAGGAAGCAAGAGCCTTGTTGACCAGTAGAGCAAAAAACTGGTTACTTTTTGAATATGGACAGCTTTTATGGGACAAAGTCTCTGTAGCACCATATCAGCAGCGAAAGGAAAATGATGTTAACTCAGAGGAAGAAGCTGCGCCCGCACCCAGGGTAATGGCTTGCTGTTGGGGGCCTGGAAAGCCTGCAACCACATTCGTGATGTTGGATTCCTCTGGAGAAGTGCTGGATGTGTTGTATGCTGGGTCCCTTAACCTACGTGGCCAAAATGTTAATGACCAGCAACGAAAGAAGAATGATCAGCAACGTGTTTATAAATTTATGACGGACCACCAACCGCATGTTGTTGTTCTAGGAGCTGTGAATTTGTCCTGTACTCGGCTGAAGGAGGATATATTTGAGGTATGCATCCTTGAGATGAGCATGACATATTCCACCTATAATATCCCTTTATGCCTCTCTGACAATATGAATTTTGGTGTACACATTCTATTTGCTAGGTGTTGTTGACTTGTGTTTCTGTGGATGAACAATCGATGATTTTCAATTATTAGATCTATATTTTTGCTACTCTTGATCGGATATATTAATACGAGTAGTTTGATGGGTTTCTTTTTACCTTATCAGATCATTTTCAAGATGGTGGAAGATAATCCAAGGGATGTTGGACACGAAATGGATAATTTAAACATCGTGTATGGTGACGAATCTCTTCCACATCTGTATGAGAATTCTCGTATTTCATCAGACCAGCTTCCTGGGCAGTCAGGTATATAATTTCTTCATTCATGGGGTGCTTGATGTAACTATGTATCTGTTATTTATCATCACATCCGTTTCAGGTATTGTGAAGCGGGCTGTGGCTCTTGGGCGAAATGTTCAAAATCCATTAGCAATGGTTGCGACATTATGTGGACCAGGGAGGGAGATATTATCCTGGAAACTTAGTCCTTTAGAGAGCTTTCTTACTCCTGATGAGAAGTATGGGATGGTTGAACAGGTTATGGTGGATGCCACCAATCAAGTGGGCCTTGATGTTAACTTAGCTTCTAGCCATGAATGGTTATTTGCACCTTTGCAATTTATTTCCGGGCTGGGCCCCAGAAAGGCAGCATCTCTGCAGAGGTCCTTAGTAAGAGCTGGAGCAATCTTTACTCGTAAAGACTTGTTAACAGCGCATGGTCTTGGTAAAAAGGTGTTCGTAAATGCCGTTGGTTTCTTGCGTGTCCGGCGAAGTGGATTGGCTTCTAGCAGTAGTCAATTCATAGACTTGTTGGATGATACTAGGATACATCCAGAATCTTATGGTCTTGCACAGGAGTTGGCCAAAGATCTTTATTATGAGGATGTCCAAGATGACACAAATGATGATGAGGATGTGCTGGAGATGGCTATAGAGCATGTGAGAGAGAAGCCTCATTTATTGAAATCCCTTCAGGTTGGTGAATATGCTAAATCTAAAAACCGTGAAAACAAAAAAGAAACCCTCAATGATATAAGATTGGAGTTGATACAAGGCTTCCAAGATTGGCGTAGATCCTATGCGGAACCTAGTCCAGACGAGGAATTTTATATGATTTCTGGGGAGACAGAGGATACCCTTGCCGAAGGAAGAATTGTGCAAGCCACTGTTCGCAGAGTGCAACCTCAAAGAGCAGTGTGTGTCCTTGAATCTGGATTGACTGGCATGCTTATGAGGGAAGATTATACAGATGATTGGAGGGATGTTAATGATTTGACTGAGAAGCTGCATGAAGGAGATATTCTAACTTGCAGAATCAAATCAATTCAAAAGAACAGGTACCAGGTGTATTTAAATTGTAGAGACAGCGAGCTGAGGAGTAATCGTCATCAGAATTATCAAAGCATGGATCCCTATTACCATGAAGACCGCAGTAGTTTGCAGAGTGAACAGGATAAAGCACGTAAAGAAAAGGAGCTAGCAAAGAAGCATTTCAAGCCAAGGATGATTGTCCATCCCCGCTTCCAGAACATTACAGCGGATGAAGCGATGGAGGTGTGTTGTCAATGATATCTGATCCATCTATGTATATATCACTTGTGTTGTGCCCATAATTTGCATGAGTAAGTGAAACATTGGAGGTGCATCCTCAATATTGCAGGATCATCTATCTAATATCACAGCTAGCAATTTGAATTATACATTTATAAAAGCACAACAACTGTTAAGATTAATCTAATCTTCATCTATTTTCATCTAGCGGTACAAAATTAATTGCAACTTTTTTTCCCCACCTAAAATCATTATTTTCTCTGTACGACCCCAATGTTAGACAACTAAACCAACACTCTCTCCAATGATAGACAACCTTACTAATCTACACCTNTAATTGCAACTTTTTTTCCCCACCTAAAATCATTATTTTCTCTGTACGACCCCAATGGTAGACAACTAAACCAACACTCTCTCCAATGATAGACAACCTTACTAATCTACACCTATCTCTCTCCTCTCTCCCTTGCCTCCCTCATATTTTCTCTCCGTCTACTTAAATTTTAAATAGTGTAATTAAAGAAAAAAAAAATTCTATTTAAGATATAAATGTGACACCATCAATACTCGATTTTTTGTATTTCAGAATGTTTTCAAACACGAGGTTATTGGTAGTATGATATATGCGCAATCACTTGCAATATGTAATGTGTGAAATTGTATGATTTTGGGTGTACAGTAAATTCTGGAGAATCAGTGCATGGATATTATGAGTGTGTTTAACTTCCCCAGAAATGGTCATGCTATGGTTTGAATTCCTAATTCTTCCATTTATTTCTTTTCTAATGATGGTTTTCGTCTTTTTTGTGTTAAATAGTTCCTTTCTGACAAGGAACCTGGTGAGAGTATTATCCGTCCTAGTTCTCGTGGACCCTCATATTTGACTTTAACACTCAAAGTTTATGATGGAGTTTATGCTCACAAGGATATAGTTGAAGGCGGAAAGGAGCACAAGGACATCACAAGTTTACTTCGCTTAGGAAAAACATTGAAAATAGGAGAGGACACATTTGAGGATTTGGATGAGGTAAGTGATTCATCATCATGGGGCTTCTATTTCTTCTATTGGTTTGCATGCATTGAACTTCAGATGTTATTATTTGAAGACTGTGGCTAGGTGTGGACTGCCATGAATTTTATTGGACTTGAAGTTATTTCTGAATGTAGATTAGGTGGCTAAATCTTCTCACTGATCATTGCTGATGCTAACTCTACATTGTGTCGTTACTTTGTGGAAACATGAAATGCATTGAGGTGGCCTTTGGTTTTGATTGAACAGTGGTTCTGCTGTTTTGAATTATCAAATAACTTTGCACAGCAAAAAAGTTTTTTCCTCTCTAAAACTTCCAAACTAATGGGTTCAGTATTTTATTTCCTATTTTTACTGCTAGAAAGAGTTCTATGTTCCAGTANTTTTTTCCTCTCTAAAACTTCCAAACTAATGGGTTCAGTATTTTATTTCCTATTTTTCCTGCTAGAAAGAGTTCTATGTTCCAGTAATTGCATTTTTATTTTTGTATGTTCAAGTGGTTAGAATATGATACAGATTGAACCTTTAACCATGTGAGAGGGTGTTGAATTGAGTAGAGGTTAATCCTGACCATATTTTGCGGGCACGTACTAAAACACATGTTTACATAGTAGAGCATTGAACTTGAGCATTGTGATAATTTAGTAAATGGATGTCAGATGGTGGTCCCCATTGTCAGGCGCCGTTTATTCCTTTCTCAGGGTGATTCCATTTTAATTTGANCGTACTAAAACACATGTTTACATAGTAGAGCATTGAACTTGAGCATTGTGATAATTTGGTAAATGGATGTCAGATGGTGGTCCCCATTGTCAGGCGCCGTTTATTCCTTTCTCAGGGTGATTCCATATTAATTTGATNGAGCATTGAACTTGAGCATTGTGATAATTTAGTAAATGGATGTCAGATGGTGGTCCCCATTGTCAGGCGCCGTTTATTCCTTTCTCAGGGTGATTCCATTTTAATTTGATTTTTTTTCATGCTCGGGCAGCTGCGACAAAAATTATTTTCGTTCTTGCCAAATCAAGAATATTTACTTTCTGATATGAACTCATGAAAATATTTAAGATCAAGCATGCCCTAAACGATATGTGAGACTTATCAACAATTAATGCTTTCCTTGACAGAAATTACTATGCCATTATGAACTACACTGGTGAATTCATTTTTGTGTCTCGTGTTTGTCTGGAGTAAATGAGTTGTGCAAGAGAATTTCTGCCCACTGGTGTCATCATTTTAAGCTGAGTTTATTCGGTGGATACCTGCCATTATGAACTACACTGGTGAATTGTTTTTTGTGTCTCGTCTTTGTCCGAAGTTAATGAGTTGTGGAAGAGAATTTCTGCTCACTGTTGTCATCAGTTTAGTTGAGTTTATTGGGCGAATACGATGATAAGCTCATGCACTAGTGCTAATGCCTGTCTATGCAGGTAATGGATCGTTATGTTGATCCATTAGTAGCTCATTTGAAATCTATGCTGAGCTACCGCAAGTTCAAAAAGGGCAGTAAAGCAGAAGTTGACGAGCTCTTAAGGATTGAAAAGTCTGAGTACCCAATGAGGATTGTCTACTGCTTCGGCATATCTCATGAACATCCTGGCACATTCATCCTAACTTACATACGGAGTTCAAATCCACATCACGAATATGTTGGTCTGTACCCTAAGGGATTTAAGTTCCGGAAAAGAATGTTTGAGGACATTGATCGCCTTGTGGCATACTTTCAGAGGCATATTGATGATCCACATGACTCAGCGCCATCAATTCGATCGGTTGCTGCAATGGTGCCAATTCGAAGCCCTGCAACTGGGGGCTCTTCAGGTGGCTGGTCTGGTTCAGCCAATAGCAATGATAGTGGCTGGAGGGGCCAGTCTATGGACCGAGATAGAACTTCTGCTAGAACAGGTAGTTCATTTAATTTTGATGATAGTGTTTTTTTTGCATGAGCTGCAGGCTTTCATTCTTCGTAAGAGATGCTTCTAGTGTAGGTTTGTCATTTTAAAAATGGTGATGGTTTTTATGGTCTATAATCAATACCCATTGAGAGAAAAAAATAAACGAATAAGTTGAAGTTCCAGCAGGAAGAGTAGCAGGCTTGCTCTGAGGATGAATCTAGAACTCTTTTGTGGCTTGGTGAGAGTATGCTTCTCCATGAGATCTATTTTTCAGGTGGTTACCTGCTTATTTTTGCAGGTGGATAGTTGGTTCAATTTTTTGGCTTTTTTTTTTTTTTTACCAATTTTAAGGTTTTAGTTTTGGCTTTGTTCAAGATTTGTGAGCAATTAGGGATTCAGATGTGCATTGATACATTTGGGGCCAGTGATCCTGCTTTATGCCCATTTTCTGTACAAGTACAGATTCAGAGTTCTTGGGTTGTTAGCTAGTATGTGGGGTTGTGACGTTTTGCTTGTCATTTTGTGTTTTCACAGGCAGAAGTGATTACAGAAATGGCAGCGGTCAGGATGGGGATGGACATCCAAGTGGACTGCCTAGGCCGTATGGTGGGCGTGGGCGAGGGCGTGGGCGAGGCTCGTACAACAGTGGTAGGGGAAGTAGCAGCAGCAATGACAGGCAGGATTCAGACTATGGTTCCCAGAAGTGGGGCTCCAAGGATGCTGATGATGGATGGGGCAGTTTTCCAGGTGCAAAAGTTCAAAATTCACCAGGCAGGGAAGCTTTCCCTGGCGGTTGGGGTGGTGGTGGAAGTGGTAATGCTGCCGGCAATGACTGGGGTGGTGGTGGCAATGATGGCGGCAGTGCAAGTGGTTGGGGCAGTGGTGCTGATGCTGGTTCTGACATTGGAAATTCTGGCTTTGGCAGCAGCAAGAGAAATTCAGGAAGGAGTGGGGGTGGTGGTTGGTGAAGCTGTGTCACTTGCAATGAGCTCTTGATTTTATAGAAACCAAAATGTTGGGTGATGAGCACTCTCTTGTTTAAACGACCTAATGCCCATTGCCATTTTATGTATTCACAATCTCTATTATATGCATTTGGCAGTAGTAACTCGATCTGATTTATGCCCATAAGCTGGTCGTTTAACTTTCTATTGGTATTTCATTTTCTGTATTGGTCGTAATTGTAGCATTAACATTAAAAATTGGGGGCTGTCCTTACATTGCTATAGCTGTTGATTTTAACTAGCAGTACTTGGTGCAATGCACGTACAATGACATTTGCAACATAACAGGGTTTTTTATTAAAAATACAATAGTCTACATCTAAAAAATGTACGGGCAAGTGTGAATTATGAAGATATTCTGAAAACAATGTCATTGTCACAATTTGTTAATCATTCCTAGTATAAAATATAACTCACTCTGTCAACTCATTAAATCATCTGTACCAAATAAAATAATTTCCAAATTATGTTAAAACATAATCAAACTAACAGCAAAAAACNTCTCTTGTTTAAACGACCTAATGCCCATTGCCATTTTATGTATTCACAATCTCTATTATATGCATTTGGCAGTAGTAACTCGATCTGATTTATGCCCATAAGCTGGTCGTTTAACTTTCTATTGGTATTTCATTTTCTGTATTGGTCGTAATTGTAGCATTAACATTAAAAATTGGGGGCTGTCCTTACATTGCTATAGCTGTTGATTTTAACTAGCAGTACTTGGTGCAATGCACGTACAATGACATTTGCAACATAACAGGGTTTTTTATTAAAAATACAATAGTCTACATCTAAAAAATGTACGGGCAAGTGTGAATTATGAAGATATTCTGAAAACAATGTCATTGTCACAATTTGTTAATCATTCCTAGTATAAAATAGAACTCACTCTGTCAACTCATTAAATCATCTGTACCAAATAAAATAATTTCCAAATTATGTTAAACATAATCAAACTAGCAGCAAAAAAANAATCATTCCTAGTATAAAATATAACTCACTCTGTCAACTCATTAAATCATCTGTACCAAATAAAATAATTTCCAAATTATGTTAAAACATAATCAAACTAACAGCAAAAAACCTCATAAAATCCATAATAAGCAAATTCATCCCAAATGACATTAAAGTTATCACCATACCACCCGTACGGTACACACTCAACTATACTATACAAAACAAATACCTTCACTCTCAGTTTCTACACCAAGCCTCCGAAGAATACATTTTTTGTTTTAGTGGGCAAAGAATACTCTCAGCTTTTACACTCAACTATTCAAAGTATAATATTTTCACTGCCCATGTGACGTAGAACGAGAATTAGAAATTATTCTATTTTTATTTTTATTATTTTGTTTGGTTGAGACTTTAAGTATGAATTTTTTAGAATACTTAGTTGCCTAAAGCATGTCAATTTTCTTAATTCATTAGACATTTGTTTATTTATTTTTGGCAACTTTCTTAAAACTAAGGATTTATTTCCGTTTTGGAAATCTTAGGATTTTAGATTTTTCTATAAATTGTATTATGTACTACAAATTCTAGACAGTTACTGAATAATATTATATTTTATAGTTTTTTCTATTTTCTCTGTGAATTCAAATTGTTATTTTTAGTTTGATACATAAAGAATCGTAGTATTCTTTGTTCTACAACCNTTATTTTTGGCAACTTTCTTAAAACTAAGGATTTATTTCCGTTTTGGAAATCTTAGGGTTTTAGATTTTTCTATAAATTGTATTATGTACTACAAATTCTAGACAGTTACTGAATAATATTATATTTTACAGTTTTTTCTATTTTCTCTGTGAATTCAAATTGTTATTTTTAGTTTGATACATAAAGAATCGTAATATTCTTTGCTCTACAACTTCAATTGGTATCAGAACCTTGACTAACCTAGTGTGATGGGCAATCAACGAAGTGATGGCAATCTTCTTAATGACAATGATCATATGAAAGAGGCTCTCCCATGAGCCAAATTATTGGATTTTCAACGATAGCAACAACAATAATTTTAGTAGTTCTAGCAATCCNCAATGATCATATGAAAGAGGCTCTCCCATGAGCCAAATTATTGGATTTTCAACGATAACAACAACAACAACAACAACAATAATTTTAGTAGTTCTAGCAATCTTCGTAAAGCTACAGATTATAGTAATCTAGTTGATGTTGGATCCAAACTAGGACATCATGACATGATTCAAATTGATTTGGTTATTGGGAAATAATTAAAATTAGAAATTCTACTGAATGTTATACAATATATTTTGATGGATCCTTGATTCCAGGGACAGATGCAATCAAAGATATTATGACAATCCATGTTGAGCTAGAAAAGATCAATCTCAAATACAAGGTAGATGCAGACAAGTGCAGACATACTAAATTTTTTAAAGTAATGAAAACTCGTCAAAGGGGAGGGTCTGATGTAGAATGAGAATTAAGAATTATTCTATTTTTATTTTTATTTGTTTATTTTTATTATTTTTTTGGATGAGACTTTAGGTAGAATTTTTTAGGATATTTAGTTGCCTAAACCATGTCAATTTTCCTAATTTATTAGACATGTGTTTGTTTGTTTTTGGTAACTTTCCTAAAACTAGGGATTTGTTTATATTTTGAAAATCTTAGGGGTTTGAGTTTTCCTACAAATTGTCCTATGTACTACGAATTCTAGACAGTTATTGAATAAAATTATATTTTAGAATTTTCTCTATTTTCTCTGTCGATTCAGAGTGTTACTTTTGATTTGATACATAAAGAATCGTAGTGTTCTTTATTCCACTGCATCAATTAGTATTAGAGTCTTTGACTGACTTGACATGATTGATAATTAGTGAAGCGATGACAAATTTTCTCATAACGGTGATTATGTGAAAAGAGTTCTGTCGAGAATTGAATTCATGAATTTCCAACAATAACAACCATTGCAATATCGACGGTGCCGACAATCCTTGANTTTGAATCAATAAAATACCCGGCGACTGAAGCCATTGAAGAGTGGACGTAGGTCGAATTGACCGAACCACTATAAATTGTGTCTTCTTTAATTCTTTCGTTGATTTCATTGCATTTATTATCTATACTTGACAGGTGGTGTGTAAAATTATTTTTGTGCATCATCANCCAATCGTGATCATCTTCCTATCTATGCTGCGAGACAAAATGTTCATGATACACCTACCCCCGTGCAACACCTATTGTAGATTACAGTGACAATTATGAGTATATTACGGGTATGTTTGATTCCTACGATTGTGCTAGATATCATAGAGGACATGATTATAATTCTAGAGATTTTCGTAGAATCAAAGTTGACCTTCCGCAGAATTTGAAAGCTAGTGAACCCCTTTGATCTGTCCTCCATGAGTTTTTGATGATTAGGTGACTTGAGGAGTCTCTGGTCCACATTTCCTCAAATCTGAAAGGTCTAGGGTAGGTTTGGATATCTCCCCATTTGTTCAGCAGGAAGGGGGAAGTGGTCCGATTCAATTGCTGGCAGGTGATTGATGAGGGCTCTTGGGAACATAATACGCCATTCTGGATTCACGATTCCCCTATCTAAACGTTCCTTGATATTGGCAAGACCTTCGCGTCTATTTGACCAAGTAAATGGGTTTCCAGAAAATCCCATGTCAATGAGTCCCTGATCATTGAGAAAATTGCCTCCCTTTTTCTCTGACTGGGAAGCAATGTTATTAAAGTCTCCAATGAAGAGGGTTGGGCCTTGGTAATCTATGATGATTTGAGACATAGCTTCCCATAAATTTGCTTGTAGGATTTTACTTGGGGGAGCATAGACGCAATTTAGAAGCCACCTTGTTTCCGACTGGTTGGGGTGAAAAATGGCAGAGATGATGGATTTTGATGAAAGAATAATCTCTAGATGCACCCCTTTCTTCCATCCCAAACAGATGCCTCCTGATTTACCGGTTGTTGCCTGCACTTCAAAATCATAACCCAGTTGTCGTAGAGTTTTTTCAGTTTTTTCTTTGCTAATTTTGGTTTCTGAAAGGAAGAGGAAATCTGGATTGTATTCCCTTAATTTGGGCCCTTAGATGTTGAACCGTCGAGGCATTGGCCAACCCTCGACAGTTCCAAATGTATCCTAACAACCCCCGGCAAAGTTCATTATAACTACTTCATTACCCAAAACACAATTCTGCTTCTTCTTCTGTCTCTCTCTTCTTTTTATTCTGTCTATCTCATTTTCCTTTTCCTGAGCTAAAACAACAGCAATTTGTTGTTCGACTTGTCAACCTCTACTAGAGCATTCCCTCCCCTTCCTCTGTTTGTACTACCCTATTCAAAAAAGAGACAACTAAGAATTTTAAGCCCATACAGTCAAAAGAAATTGAGCATGAATAATAAGAGTACATGAAATTGAGTGAGTACCTGCTCTGCATTTTTTTTTTTTTTAGCTTCTTTTTGGAGGTGGGTATTCATTCAAGGCAAGCTTGAGCGAAGTCGGATGAGTCTCTGATAAAGTTGGTCAATCGAGGGAGATAAAGCGAAATTACTTTGCATCTTTGTTACACGAAAATCCGTCCGGAGAGAGAGAATGGAAAAGAGGCGTGACGCCGTGAGGGAAGTAACCAACCGAATGGAGAGAGAAACAAAGGGACCGTGGGGATATAGAATGGTGTGAAACAGAATTTTGGATAAGAGATCATGGGATGGAGATGTGCAGATACGTGCATGGTGTTCTGTATTTTGAACATAAGAGTTCCATTTTCTAATCTCAAGCTGTTATCCTTATCTATAATATAAAATGAGAGAGTTTTCAATAAATTTATCCGACGATTATCAACGTTTTTATCAAAATTATTCACATTACACTATACATTCATGCACGAGTTATCTATAGTCACCGACAAAAGATACGCTACCATTAAAAAAGATAATACCAAATAGGATTTTTCTAAAAAAATATAATACCATATAAGATTTTTTTAAAAAAATTCAAAATTTTAGAAAATTAGAATGAGTAGAATGGATCCTCCTCCTTGATTAGATATTCCTTCAAGAAGGGCCCCATACTCATTCCAGTAAACCACTCCCACTGCTGCCTTCATGGTGCTAGATTTGAAAGCTCCATCATAGCTGCATTTAACTTGATGAGACGATGGAGGTTGCCTGCTCTGAGGAGAGCTTGAACCCTGCAAATCTAGGGGTAGTAGAGTAGCTAGCTTGAACCCTGCATTTAACAAACTTGATTGTTGTGGATGAGTTTGGATTTTTCTACAAAAAGGAAAGCATGGGATAAACTATGACAAACACATGACAATGANCCCTGCAAATCTAGGGGTAGTAGAGTAGCTAGCTTGAACCCTGCATTTAACAAACTTAATTGTTGTGGATGAGTTTGGATTTTTCTACAAAAAGGAAAGCATGGAATAAACTATGACAAACAAATGACAATGTAAGACAAGAGATGGATGGATAAAGAGAGAAGACAGAAGAGAAAGAGGAGAGAGAAAAACAGAAATGAAGCGAGCCGGAAGATATAGAGAGCACTAAACTCCAAGCCATTGCTTGACTTANTAACAAACTTGATTGTTGTGGATGAGTTTGGATTTTTCTACAAAAAGGAAAGCATGGGATAAACTATGACAAACACATGACAATGAAAGACAAGAGATGGATGGATAAAGAGAGAAGACAGAAGAGAAAGAGGAGAGAGAAAAACAGAAATGAAGCGAGCCGGAAGATATAGAGAGCACTAAACTCCAAGCCATTGGATTTAAAATCTATCCAATTCTCATCGTGGCATAATTGTTACCTAATCAAGGCACCTAGGAACCTCCTGTTTCGTTGCACGGGTGTTATCTGCTTAATCACATCGCATCTACCATTCAAAAGTTATAACACACATTTACACAGATACACAACAAATGACACATCTTGACATTTTCTGAACCATTCGAACCATAACGGGTCCATGTCGGTTATAGGTGGAAACCAAACTAAAGAGACATACTTAGCTGAGATTTTCCAGCTTAATTACACATATCAAGTTTGACTGGGCACTTATGAGGTGCAACTTTAATATGCACATCAACAAGAAAATATTGCTTCTAAATGCAATTGGGAAGCAGTACAAAAATAAAATCATGCATTGGAACCTAAAAAACATACAATGGAATGCAGAAACACACAAGAACAGCTGATTCAGTTGCTGACAGATTGCGAAAAAAGAAAAAAAGAAAAAAAGAAAAAAAAAAAAAAGGCAATGGCATAAAAACCGATTTGAGTCTGGTACCGCCAAGGTCAAATGTTTCTTCCGCATCAGGTAACTGCCTTCGTTCAATAGAGGAGATGAATCATTACCACGAGGATCACGTGGAGAAAGCATGCTACATCTAATCAACTAACTTTATCCAAGAGGCCAAAGAGAGTACTCTGTATGGTGACTTTCTTGATGGTTTGTNTCATTACCACGAGGATCACGTGGAGAAAGCATGCTACATCTAATCAACTAACTTTATGCAAGAGGCCAAAGAGAGTACTCTGTATGGTGACTTTCTTGATGGTTTGATGCTGAGCTGCTTCCAGCTGTTCTGTTATGGTGAGAGTTGGAATGAGATGACCTAAAAGGCCATAAGAACGACCATGAACTCCGCCTTTCACGATTCAGGTTTCTGTTTTCCCTTCCCATAATATTCCTACTACCGCTTCTGTTTTGACCATTTGAGCCATCACCTGATCTCTGTGGTGCCAGCTCCTGGCGACAGACGGGGCACGAGCTTCGCTGTTCCAGCCATGGAACAATGCAGTCCAAGTGGTATATATGTTTACAGGGCAATTTCTTCGCCTGGGACCCTAACTCAAATTTTTCTTTACAAACAGCACAGTGTGAATCAGAGCGAACATGCTTCTTCAAGATTTTCACAGTAGGCAATGCATCAATTAAAGATCTGGAAGCTGGAGGAGGGACTCGTTGGTCATCACTTGAAATATGTTCAAAAAATTCTTCTACTCCAGGGCCCACAAAATAATCACCACCATTCTCTCGCCTCAACACGAGAGCCTCATTAAACAGGTCTAGGAGCCCATCATTGCTGGTCATCTCGCCACTAAAAATCAACAAAGGATTCCACAAATTACTATGTTGGGCTTGTGAATCTGATCTCCCTCTATTGTCCGAATTGTTATTTCTAATGGATGTTTGAGCTGCTTGCTGTCTCAAAAAATTCGAGACTGCTTCCATAAAACCTGGCCTCTGGTTGTGATGTTCAACATTCATGCTCAATATATCATCAAGCTCTTGAACAAACCCACCGCGACAGTTGCCGCAAATTGCACTTTGTCTTCGAAGAGTAACCGGTTGCCTACAACTGTAACACCAATGGGTGTTTCCGTCACCCGACATCTTTGTCCTCTCTAGCTCTTTCTAACTTAACTCAATTATTTGTCCCAGAAACTCCTCTCTAGCTCTTTACGCAACAGAATGGCTAACAATTCACATCAACAAAAGATTATTTACAAAGAAAGGAAATTATCAAAAAATTATGCTATACCATAATGAACCCATGATTTTACAGATCAAAGAGTTACCGCTACATACAAAGTTATTTTAACGGGGCTGATGAACTTTTCTCCTCAATAAAATTCAAAGTAGAAAATCACTTAATTTTAAGTAGATGTATAATTGACTTGGGGCCCTAACCATTCAAGTACAAGAATCACACATTTCAAAAACCTAAAAAAGTTAACTTTCGAATAAACCAAACAATCACTCAAAAGTACATTACCCAATTTGGTCCTAATTAATCGACGGTGTTGGAAGGGGAGGGTTTGGTATAGACCTTTCTTTTGCCATTACTTGCAAAAGGCAGAAAAACCTCTACAGTGGCTTACNAATCACTCAAAAGTACATTACCCAATTTGGTCCTAATTAATCGACGGTGTTGGAAGGAGAGGGTTTGGTATAGACCTTTCTTTTGCCATTACTTGCAAAAGGCAGAAAAACCTCTACAGTGGCTTAACTGATTTAAGCTTCTCATTTTAATCGTCTTACAGAATAAGTCAGAAAGGACCGACTTTCCAAGCGAAGAAAGTAATAATAGAAGACTGTTTAACTCTTAAGCCAACTCACAATTTTTATAGGACTGAGGGCTTATCTCTAACAACAGAATTCCAAATCGACAAATTACTTGTCTTTGAATCAAAATCCAGAAAACAAAACCACAACATTTTAATTTACAACACAATATTCATAGCCCTAATTGTACAGTTAGAAATAGGATAATACAAATTACAAAATTGAGAAAAATGCCAAAATAAGAAAAGTGTTGTATACTGATGATCAAATTTCCAGGAAACTGGAGAAAAGAAAAGGGAAATTGGATGAGTTTCGTTTTAAGTCCACTAATGTTAATTTTTTTTGATAATCATCAAAAGCTTTTCATTAACAATGAAAAATAACTTACATGAGGGACAAGAAGTCCTTCAATAATAAAAACATAAGAACAAGGAGTAATAAACGAAAATTATTATCCGCAAATGGATTTCCAATCTGTCCTAATTAAGAAACAAAGGAATTCCGGCAAAATGAGGGCGAATTTTTTCCCATTAGAAATCCACTTCATCAACCTTATATTAAAAATTACGTGCGTTTCTGTCAAACCAAATACTCCAAAAGATAGCCAAAACCACACATCTCCAAAGTGATTTGGCTTTTTACTCTTTCCAAGAAACCAAAACTCAATTTCACACATAGCAATGTAAGACTAGGGTGCAATCCAACACGTCTCTACCAAAACAAACAATCTACTCCATAAAGAATAAGCAGAAGGGCAATGAAGAAATAGATGATTCCCAGGTTTGATCCCCTAAATCAGGGTGGTGGGAGAGTTGGAGTAGCTGCAGAATTACCCCTACATGATTTGTATAAAGTGGGTTACCTCAATCCACCATTGTTTAGTTAAATTCGATTTCTTCATAGAAATGGAGTGGAGTTAAGTTCATTATAAATTTTTCTCAAGAGCTTTTCTCAGGTACCCAACATGAAAAGCTTGATAAAGAATACCATAATATCATCCTACTAAGAAAATTAGAATCCTAGAAGATAAATGCAAGAGATCTGAAGATTATAACTAACATACATTTTACCATATAATTGAACAATCCCTTAAACCATCTTAAATAAACCGTAATAATCAAGAACTACATTGTCAAACATGCAATGGAAAGTGAACAATTTAAAAAAAAAAATCAAAAAATAAAAAAATAAAAAAAAAGGAAAGAAGAAATTAGAAATGATGGGTCATCATACCTTTGATCCAACAATTACAGAGCAGAGAACAGCATTAACCCAGCAGAAACCATACACATTCACGCACACATAGGAATATAAGTAGAGAGGAGAGGCAGACAGAGAGAGAGAGGTAGCAAGAGTCTAGATTGAGAATGGGGATTTGTGTTTTTCACAGAGAAAATAGGAGAGAGAGAGACAGAGTAAGGGAGTGATGATGATGATGTTCTAAAATAAGCGTGGTGCGTACTGTCACTGTCTGTCGCCTTCTGTTGGATGGTGGGAGGGGCTGGGCTGCATGTGGGTTATGCATCTTATGGGCTCTTTGTCGCCCCTAATGACACTGCCAGCCCACGTCCTTTTCTGTGCTTATAGTTGCCCATGCTTGTATCAATGGCAGAACTTATTACTATTTCAAGTTATTCTAAGAATTCAGTCCATATTCATTTTCAAGTCAGAAAAATTGTGATAAAACTCAGTTTTTTTTTGGTCAAATCTAGGTGAAACATCTTGGTCAAATTTTGGTGAAATGTTAATGAAATTATATCAACCGACCTTTAAGCTATAATCTGTATCAAATTTTAAACACATTCTTTTCTTTGAAACGTATATGTATTTTCCTATATTTAGTTGAAGATAACTGTATTAATGTTTGAATGGCTTCGTCTGCTTTCAGTGGCGGAGCCAAGCGTTGGGCTAGAATTATACTTTATATCTCTTAAATTAGCTCTCTTAATTTAAAAAATTATACTTCAACCCAAAAATTATATTCTTGTTTTTCACTTTACATGGCCCTCAAGATATCAAAGTTATATTTTACATTCTTAAATTGTGTTCTTAGTTTTGCTTTACCTCTCAACTATTGATTTAAACACATTGTACCCCTAATTATTCAAAATAGTCTCGTGAACTGCCTTAGTCCAAAATGTAACAATTTAAGCAAAATTAAAATTTAAAAATTTGTGCAAAAAGTTAGCAATTTGAATGGTAAATGGTGCAACAACTTCAATATCGCAGGACAAAGATATAATCAGGGTAATAATTTAAGAGGATAAAATATAATTTTTTCAAATCTATAATATAAAATATGACAGACTTTAATAAGTCAATTCGACAGTCTCAAATAAACTTATTCAACGACCATAAACGTCGCTTTCAAAATTATTTACATTGAACTTCCCTCTTCNATATGTATTTTCCTATATTTAGTTGAAGATAACTGTATTAATGTTTGAATGGCTTCGTCTGCTTTCAGTGGCGGAGCCAAGCGTTGGGCTAGAATTATACTTTATATCTCTTAAATTAGCTCTCTTAATTTAAAAAATTATACTTCAACCCAAAAATTATATTCTTGTTTTTCACTTTACATGGCCCTCAAGATATCAAAGTTATATTTTACATTCTTAAATTGTGTTCTTAGTTTTGCTTTACCTCTCAACTATTGATTTAAACACATTGTACCCCTAATTATTCAAAATAGTCTCGTGAACTGCCTTAGTCCAAAATGTAACAATTTAAGCAAAATTAAAATTTAAAAATTTGTGCAAAAAGTTAGCAATTTGAATGGTAAATGGTGCAACAACTTCAATATCGCAGGACAAAGATAAAATCAGGGTAATAATTTAAGAGGATAAAATATAATTTTTTCAAATCTATAATATAAAATATGACAGACTTTAATAAGTCAATTCGATAGTCTCAAATAAACTTATCCAACGACCATCAACGTCGCTTTCAAAATTATTTACATTGAACTCTCCCTCCTTTCAAATCCATTACTTCTTACTTACATTGCATTGTACCTTCAAATACGAGTTACCACTAAAATTTAATATTGTATAGAATATGTATTTCAGAGATATGTACTCACTCTTTCTTATTTTGTTTGGATTTGCAAATGTTATACTGCCAAAGTAAAATTTAATAGTACCAAATGATTATGTCATAAATCAAACTGATTTTAATTTTTTTTATAAATGAACCTGAAATAGTCTTGCATGTAATTGATTTAAAAAAAAGTAATTAATGTTTCAATTTTTTGAAAATTAAATAACTCTATAATTCGTCATGTGAAAGTTATTTTCGTAGTTTTTATACAAAAAAAAAAAANATTTTAATTTTTTTTATAAATGAACCTGAAATAGTCTTGCATGTAATTGATTTAAAAAAAAGTAATTAATGTTTCAATTTTTTGAAAATTAAATAACTCTATAATTCGTCATGTGAAAGTTATTTTCGTAGTTTTTATACAAAAAAAAATTTGACGCTAATTATAGGTTATCGGCCCCCTCAAGATAAAATCCTTGCTTCACACCTGTCTGCATTTGTCATGTATTTTGAGCAACTATTTTTTGTCTTGTCATTTTGTCAATCCATCATTTTCAGTTTCTCTTTTGAGTTTTAATTATTTGCGGCAATGTCATATCCTATCCACAATAATGAGGACTATGGAGGGCAGTGGGTTTTGTCAATATGTTTTGGTGATGCTACAATTCAATAATTCTTGGATGCATTAGTGAAAAGTAGCTGTAAACCTTTAATTTGTGCAGTTAAAGAAATGATTTACCCTCCACTTGTGCCGGATTCACATTATACAAAAACCTTTGGATACTTTATAATTTATGTCATACTAAATTTAGAACCCGCATAAAAAATCAATATAAGTAACATGGTAAGGAATCATAGCTATAAAATCTGTCTGAAGAAAGTTGGAAAAGAAGGATTATAAAACCAATCTTGAGTGTTTGGAAACATGGGGAAAAAGTCCATCACCACTCCATAGCACAGGGACAAATAATTTTGTCTGCTAGGCATCTCTTGTGCATGCGTCCACATATCATGTGTTCCTCAAAGAAACTTTGTGTACTGAAAGAACAAGTGGTGTGTGTAGAAATAATTGGAAACTTTGACATAAAAGAACATAAAAAAAGGACACTTAAAGCTAAAAAGATGGAATCACTTTAATTTCAGACTTTTATTAAGATGATTAGGAATCAGATATACACCCAAGCCAATGCAGCAATCCAGGTTAGGCTAACATAATGGGTTGGGAAGGGACGGGCTAAAAACAGGGCC